AAATGAATGACCGTAGAGCCTCTTCCTGCTCACGTTTCAACTGAAACCCCCAAGTCTAATCCTTCCAAAACTGATTCCAACGCTGAGTCAAAAATCACCATCAGAGCCAGCGGTTCTTCACACACGACTATGCCAAGAGAGGGCAGCTGCAGATGGGCTACGGTCAGCCCTGGCTGCCGTTAGCCTCGGAGGTCCACTGGTTGCCGCTGTCCTCTTAACTTTGGAAATAGTTTTTTTTATTACGCATTAAATCAGTAAATGGACCATATAATGACACTTTAAAGTATAATATTCTCACCTCAAATGAACTTAAAATGTACTTTTATTGAACAACAGCAACAGAAAAGAGAATTTTTAACTTTCAATGAAGCGCTCCATTAAAAGCTGTTGCTGCCGCAGTGCACGCTACTGTTCAATAGTTGTTGCCATCTTCCTTGTTGTGCTTTCACCAGTGTCGCCGGCTTTGTCATCCCGCCCTCAAAACCTGCCCGCTTTCATGTAAACATCTTTTGAAGGTCCTATATTTTGCTACATTTGAAAATAAAAAATAGTGCTGTAGCAATGAGGGGCCTCAGAGCATGTTTTTGCCATTTGTGCAGAAAAGCTCCTCTCAGATTAGGCAGAGAGTACGTACCTGAAATCTAATTTAGTCCTCTTCTAAATGAGCTGTTTTGGCTTTCCGGGCTCCTGTCCTCCCACAACCCACAACCAAGACAGCCAGTCAGTTCGTAAAGATAGCCTAGGATCACGGAATATTACTGATGGGCTAATACATACACTTCTGGACAGCTTATTTCCCATTGTGACATCATACAGGGAATGTTTTCAAATAGACCATTTTGAGCACAATCAGCTAAAAGGTGCAGAAAGGCAAATGTGAAAGGTTTTTTGTTTTTATTCATCAACCTCACACACAGGTTTTAGGAAAAATATGTTACAAATGTTTATGATATGAATTTTGCATAATTAGGGACCTTTAAGTCTGAGATTATACCACTGCATAAAAACATGTTTATTTTTTCAAAAACGTATTTATTTTTTTCAAATTCATTCTTATAAGATGACAAGCGTCTTTTGAAAAATAACAGATTGTTTGAGTTTTAAATCCCAAAATAAATGTGTGTTGTATGTTATCACTGTTCAATGCAAATGTATTCTTTACTGAATTACAACACATACATTTTGTCATCTATAGTAATAGTTTCCAGTTCACATGTCATAATATTGTGGTTTGTATGAATTACAAAACAAAGTCCCCTCTGTTTTTTATTTAAGATAAAGTTGCAAAAGGTGTAAAAGAAATCAAACAGTTCCATGTGAATGGTTTACTCAGGCATGTAAGATTCACATACCAATAGAGATGACATTTTTTGATTATTTTATCTTTGTTCCAATTCTACAGAGCATGCTGTGCACCTTCTTGCATGCTGTCCAGTATAATTTCAAGTATCCATGTCTGAGATGAGGTTAATTGTATAACTAAATGTAACTGGCTATCCGGGGACAAACATATTGATTTTCCTTGATACAGGCTGAAGAAGAGGTACTGATAATTGGGCAGAATTTATATAAGGATAAAAGTTCAAAACACATCAGGAAAAAGCAGAACTGATGTTAATTAAAAGTATAAAGAGAAAATCTAAAATGAAAGCTTGTCTTATTATCTCTGCTTATTCTTAATGTTACCAAAATAATTGCCTAGTTCATATTTTAGACATATCTACTGGTTTGTAAAGAGTTTCCAAACTGCAAAGCAGAAAGAACGGGTTTGTTCCAGCAGCTCATAAAGATTCAGTGACCATAGTGTTACAGGGCACCAATTAAGAAGCTTCCCCTGCTCTGGTAACCGTTGTCTCCTGACATTACTCTCTGCTTTACTGGTTCCAGTTTCTGAGGAACAGCCCTTAGCCTCTCTTTTTCTTCTATTTTATATCAAGCGTGTTAAACTTACATAAATTGATAAAAACAAAAAAAAATTACAAAGAATTTATTTTATGTCATGAGTTTGGTCTCTAAATTTGTACATTTATGGGTATTTGATTGTAATCTTTACTATACAAAATAACTTTGGGTTATTTAATACTTTTGCCAAAACCTATTTTAGAATGTGCAGTTGTTTACTGTAAAAAACTCAATGTGATTGATGTGTGTAAGTGCTGGGGGTGGTATGCTACTGTAACATAAAATTGCTGGTCTAAGTGAACTGTATAAGGGGCTAGATGTGCAGTTTCAGCCACAGCCCCCTGAGGAATAAACATCAAATAGCATTTTAGGCAGCAGGATGTTGAACACATCCTGAAACCAAAGACTGTGAACATACGATTACTGATGTTTCTTCTAAAAGCTGCTGCTAAGATGCAAATTGAGCTAGTCCTGCACACACAGCAAAGCTCAAGCATTAGCAACTCTTGAATTTATAATGGCATGCTGGGATGTATTTTTTCTCTTTTTACTTATTCACCAAGCTAGTCTACTGTGACCTCTTGAATCAGCTATTTTGCAAAGAACAATACAGTGTCCACAAAAAGCTGTGGAGTGTTTTAAACTTTGTCACATTTACAAATAAGGACTCATCTGTTAAGCTGTGTTTCATTTTACTGCAAAATTAAATTGAAAAAGTAAAAAGCCAAAATCTTATTCCGTTTGATTATTTTATTTCACAACAGAGATTTCTTTATAGCACTGGGACAATTCAGGATCATATAACCTCATCTTCACTTTTTAAAAGAAGTTCAGAATAATTGTAGTAGCAGCAATAACCATTTTGTCCATTAAATATTGTAATTCTCCAGGGTGCTCAGTTACTAGGAAGAATTTACATTGTTTGCTTCTATAGGGTTTTCACTCCCTAATATCTAGACAAAAACCATCGATACCAACTTAGCCTCTACTGTATCTTCTTTCTGAAATAGAAGAAGAAAAAAAACATTAACCATTTTAAAACATCACTTATTTTGGCAAAGCTTGAATTAATTTTTTTTATTAATGGTTAAACAATTCTGTATTCTTTGAGATAAGAATGCAAAGTGTTCATTTACGTTGGATTGCAATGTCAGAGTAAATTCAGCACCCTACAAAGGAATTGATACCCTTGTAAAATGTATGGAAAAAGTTTTTTAATTATAATTGCAAAAGCATAAAATCATAGTGAATATGTAGAGCTTGAGAAACCAATTAAAAATCAGCAGGGTCCGAATGAAGAAAACCAGTAAAGGTCCGGAAGCATTTTTAATTACATTCTATTCTATTCTCACATATTTTCTAAAACACCTGAACTGACCGTTTGTTCGTTTATTGTCTTTTTTATGGCTTAATGAGAGAAGTGAACTTAATGCTGCCCTGAAAGGCTTTTAAACCTGGGTTTGAATGGCGGCAAAGCCATCCTCAACCACATATCAAGGTGCTCACTCGTGAGCCTGGGTCGACATTTATTTTTTGATTATGGTCATGGTGGAGAATCCTGCTTCACAGCAGCAGGTTGAGCCAAACATACTCAAAATATGCAGGGACATCTTTGAGCACGCCATTTCACTTTTCTTTCACCAGTTCACTGTGGTTCTTCCGCGGTCTCCACTTTCTCTTCTCGCTTTTTCTCATCGTTTTCTCCTTCTTTCCCATCGCCCAGCTTGCCAGAGGTTTGCCTGCTGTGTCTAAAGGGGCTTACAGCAGCGACCCAAACTGACACAGCTCATTGGCAAATTTGTAACACGTGTAGTGTGTTCCCAGACGCTCAGGAAGTGGCGCAAGTGAAGTTAGACACTGTTGTCGGACAACATGTAGTAATTTACAAATGTTTTAAATCGGGTTGTGTCCGGATTAGCCAGAGGTGGGTCTGCTAATACATGACCTCTGATGTAAAGAGTAAAGGTTTTACTTTATGGGTAATTTCCTGAGTAGTAGTGACATTTTTTTGCTTTTGCTTTCACAAGTGAAGCAGTACGGCTGTCGCCATAGTTTTCAGCTTGATTTATGCATATAAATTGCTTTATTATAATCCATGCAGGGAGTATTACTGATTATATGTACACTGCAATGTACGTAGAACAGGAAAAATGAGAAAAGATGAAAAAAGAGAAGAAAAAATGGAGACCAATCTTTCCTCAATAAATAAATAAAAGAGAGAAAGCATGTTGTAATAGCTGACTTATTTGTACTTACCAGAGTAGCTGACTACCCTGGCTGTGTGTTTTCATTGAGTTCAACAGAGATACAGGCTTTGGAAATATTTTCTTTGTGGGATAGGTTTTAACATTACCACTCAAATTTTTTTATTTAAAGTTTGTGAGCTTTGCTATGCAAAACAAAAGTTAAAACTGAACTGAAATCCAAACAACAATACACATTAGTATAGATACAGAGTGAAGCTATACAGGAAAAGGAAACTCACAATGTAAAAGGTTGTGCACAGATAAAAATGCATTATTTTAGCTGATCATTTTGGATGTGCATCAGTTAAAATTAAATGAATCACCCCTTTTTTAGAGGGCTAAATTTAAGACTTCAGGGCTGCAACTAACGATTATTTTGTTAATCGATTAATCTATCAATTATTGATTAATTAATTAATTTGTTCTAAATCGAACAGCCAGAGATTCACTATACAAGACTTTTATGAAATTAAGCCAGGTGAAACTTAAACTTCCCACTTGAGGAGCTCTGGATAGATCATATATACAGACAAAAATCTTTTTAAAATCTTAAATCCAAAATGTTATATATCTTTTACAATCTTAACGATTAAGTATTAAGTAGTTAACAGTTATTTCAATAATCAGTTAATAGTGATTAATCTAATAATTTTTTTAAGTCCTACTTTTGTTTTAAACCCTTATCTTACAAACAGGCAAAAATATCTTTCATTGCAATTGCCATTATATCTGTTTAGTGGAAATGGCAGTTCTTGGCAATGGCAATTCTTGACTGTTATGATCTATTTAAATATCTATAAAAAAAATGTATACCAGTTGGTCAAATTTTGACTTTTCCTCTTCTTTTCACAGTGGCAATGTACAGGGAGCCATCTCTTCATGACTTGACAGAGTTCTCACGTTCTGGCAGTGGCACACCCACCAAGAGTCGGAGTGCATCAGCAGTGCTCAACGGAGGCAAAGCCGTGAGCCAGAACGAGTCAACGTAGCGCGGTAGCCAAGCCCAGGCCTGGGCTCAAACCATGAAACCTTACCTCTCACAGAGCGGGAATCTAAGCAGACTCCGATCAACGTTCAGGACTAGCTACGACAATAATCCACACATTGAAACACCCAGATTTCATCAGTAAAATGTATTCATCAAGGCAGCATCTAGAATAAGAAACATAACCTCATAAAAATCACTCTTAACATAACCAAGATTATTTTTTGCTAAATGTTTATGTATAATTTTTGCCACATTCTTTTTACAGATGAGTTTCTTCATTCTTATTTATGATGTTTTACGATCACTTATTTAGGTCATGCAAACACCAGTTACTTGTGCATATGTCAAACAGGGAAAACAAGTCTGATATGCAGGTGTTCAGGGCAGCCAGTAATGGTTCTTGTCCATAAAGGCTGCAGTGGGACAACGAAAGCCCTGATCACTATCTCACCCATGCTTCTGTGAATACAAAGCCTATAGACTCCCTGGCATGGCTCAGCCTCGTCCTCCTGGCCAGCCGGACGGTAGCTATCCTACGTCCTAATGCACACGCTCAGAGACTGAGCTCCTTAGCATGGGGAAATGAAGCCTATGTTTAACTGACCTGAAATATAAGATGTAGTGTGGCTCTCTCTCTGTTTGTTTATTTGTTCATTTTACCTTTTCTGTCTGAGAGATGTGCCACAGCTACAATTTTTGCTGACTAATTTTCTGAATTAGCAGAGAGATTTTCTTATTGTGAACAGTTTTTTTGTCAGAATCTCCTCTTGTTTTGTGCCCATGTCATTGTTTTGCATTTTGCTTAGTTGTTTGGATGGGTTTCATTAAACCAAAGACAGATTGAAAGAGTGTCCCTTTAAGCTGCTAAAATAAAAAATGAAAAAAAAAAACAAGCCAACATATAGTACAGATAAAGATGGATGTTTCTGTTTTCATTGTACATTTTTGAGGAAATGGAGCAAAGCTTAATGAGAGAAAAAGAATAACTTGTTGGCAACCTGGCTTATTGTTCTGCTTTTTGCTGATTTGCCCAGTAATGGAAGAATGGGTCGACTATGTAGTTTCTCCATTCCCTTATGTTACCACTGTATCACACTGTCTTTTGCTCTTGTCCTCGTGATTTGTTTCTTCTCTTTGTGCTTGTGTCATACTTAAACTCCTCCCAGCCATCCTTTTTTCTTCAGTTCTACTGACTGAATAATGTCATCAAAGGAGCATGGTGGATGCCCCCACCCCATCCCAACTATCCAGGATGCTTGTTATGTGTTTGAGTAACTTATTGTTGTGATATTTTCTATTTCAAAAAAGGAATACTGTGGACTTTTAGGTGGCTTAACATTTTATAGGAAACATTAAATTTATAAAAATGAAAAGCAAACAAAAAAGTACAAATACAAACTTCTTCCCTTTCTTGCACAGGGCATGTACACCAATATGTACAAAAAGGACCCTTTTTGTGGGCTATGTACTCTTTCCTTCGGCTAAATAACTTATTTCTAGAACATACTTTTGGGAGACTTTTTCTTGATTCCTTCTGGAGGTGGTTTGTATTAGGTGAATCTATCTGTTGCATGGGAGAAAGCAGGGAAATGCTGGTCTAGAGCTGCATGATGTAGGCTATGTGTATTAACCCATGTTGGATCATGTGTTTCAAACTACCAGGCTAAATCTGATAAAACAGCATACACAGACAGGCACTGCGGCTGTCTGATAACTTCCAGTTGTTTATTATTTGTTGTATACACAAAAATGCACTGAATAAAATGTTTATATTAAGATATGCTTTTAAAATGTCTCGGGTGTTGTTATTTGTGTCAAAGTACTGTGTATTATATCATATATTATACTTTCTTTATCCATGCAGTTATTGTACCGATCTCACTTTTACCCACATAATCACCAAATGTTTTATTTGAATGGGTAAAGCTGCTGAATGTTGGTCACATCAACAAAATCCTGTCACTGCAGTTTGGTCTTTAAAATTTTACAATTTTCATTAATCTGCAATTTTACAGATGCAATTAAATGAAGGGGATTTAAAATAATATCCTAGTATTTTATAACATCCTCTCCTTAATTTGGCTTACACAGTGAAACAATGGAAGTAATGCCTCAGCTGATTATCATTAATATACAATACCAAAAAAAAAAAGAAAAGAGGAGATTATTGCCTCTTGAATATAGTGATTAAAGAATATAGTAGCCCTAGCTTATTCAATAAATAGGAAAATGGGAAGTGGTGGTCTAATGGTAAGATTAAGTCCCTGACACTGTAAGAAGTCTGTATAATTTGTGGTTCTGATCCCAAAGACTGAGGGTCAAGAGAAAGATGTGCCAGGGTGCTGCACAATGGCAGCCTGGTAATGCTTCCTTAGGGATGAGTCCAAATTTTACTGTAATGTCCAATTTGACATGACAAGAAAAGTTTGCTTTTAAAACTTATGCAGGCAACTAAATCCAGGCAACTAAACAAGCATCTGAAAGTAATTTAAATAGGTATTATTTTCAGACAAAAAAGTAGACTGATATCAAGGTGGATGATCTTTTTGTACCAAGCAACTGAGGCTTCTAGTAATTTATTTTAATTTACCATACAGAGTTGTTTTTTTAAAACAGTAGGGAGTTAAAAAGAAGTAAGAAATATTGAAAAAAAAAATTATAGATTATTACAAATTCCAGATTAGAACAGATTTACAAAATACTTAAATTATAATAAAGTACCACTTTTGACAAGTCTTAAGGTAGTGTTTGGTTTGCCTCATTAAAACATATCTAAAACGGAATAAAACTTGTTTTTTTCTTAGTTTTTTTGGTTATTTAACTATCATCCTCAAACATGGGTCTGGACTGCTGAGATCTCATTAAGCCCACCAACAGTGGAGACAGAAGAACTAATCGGCCCCGGTAATATAGGCCCTGTTATGAGTTACTCCATTGTTCATGTAGTTTGACATCCCACTACTCCCTTCATTTCCTTCTGCCCCTCTCTAGACTCCATTCATTACCACAGGACAGTCCAATTCATTAGTGTGGGCTGCCAGCCTTGTTCTAAGATAGTGATGTGAAGAGAAGCTACTTTTCCTCTATGTATTCTCTCTCTTTGCCTCTCTTCCCCATTCGGTCATTTTTTCCCCCTTTGCATGGCTAGACTAATGAGTCTTCATGGAGCCATCCAAAAAAAGGCAAATCAAAGCTGTGTCTTTCGTCCGTAAATACACTCCAAGAGCTCCAGGATTTGTGATTTTGATATCAGGCTGAAACATTCAGTCACGAGTCAGACGGAGCTGACAGTGCTGTGATATATCTGAGCACTGTGTACCTGTGAATGCAATAACTCATTACCCTTTATCACTGCCAGTACAGGCTGTGCAATGTCTTTCGTCTTATGAACACAGTCTTTGTGTCTCTTATGTCTCCCCCATTACTTTGCATTTTTTTCATCTATCTATTTTATTTTTTTTACCTGTGAATGCTGCTATAATTACCTTTTTTTCTAAAGCTAACTGATAAGTGCCACAGCAGTGGTGTCATTTTATTTTTACGCATTTCTCACCACCATTATTTTTTTCTTTGCTTTTCTCAAATTAGAAACAATAATGTTAAGATATAATGTTGAGTAACAACTGTTCAGAGTTGGTATTGCAAAAATGAAATGAAAACAGAAGAATGGCTGAAATATTTTGTACAGCTGCAGAAGTAGGAAATGTAGAGGTGTTTTAAATTTTAACTGAAAAAAAAAAGATCTGATGAGACTGGAGATGAAATTGCACGCTACATGCCAACTGGAATCCTATCTACTTTGGAATAACAGCTTACTGCTGTTAAGATGACCCTTCTTAAAGCAAGAGCAGCATTTTTCTCCTCATTAATAGAGGAGAATAAGAATAATCTGAGATTTATATTTAATACAGTTGTAAAACTCACAAACTCCCTGTCCAACCTCCCTTATGCTAGCACAAAGGATTTTATAGTATTTTTTATAAATAAGATGGATTCTATTAAAATTATTTCTTGTTTTTCTCTGGAAGGTGAGGCAGCATCTGAGGTAGCCATAGAATCTTAACTGGGTTTAGACTGTTTTTCTTTCAGAGTTAGCAAAACTATTATCGTCATCTAAAGCCTTCAACCTGTATGAAAGATCCAGTTCCAAGCATCTTATTTAAGGAAGTATTCCCTTTGATTTCCACCTCAATTTTAGATGTGATTAATCTATCCTTGTTACAGGGTTATGTACCCCAGGCTTTTAAGATATCTATAATTAAACCTTTATTAAGAAACCGTCTCTTGACCCTGATGACTTGGTCAATTATACACCTATATGCAATGTTCCTTTCTTATCTAAAATCCTTGAGAAAGTAGTTGCCAAACAAGAGTGTGAAGAGTTTCAGTCTGGCTTTAGAGCTCATCATAGCACTGAAACAGCTCTGGTGAAAGTCACAAATGATATTCTCATAGCCTTAGATAATGGACTTGTGTCTGTACTAGTTCTGTTAGATCTCAGTGCTGCATTTGATACAGTTGATAATAAAATTATTTTACAGTGACTTGAATATTTTGTAGGAATTAAAGGAACAGCACTCGGCTGGTTTAAACCTTATTTATCTGACAGATTTCAGTTTGTTAATGACAAATCATCTTCATGTGGTGTACCACAGGGACCAGCGCTAGGGCCAATTCTCTTTGCTATATATATGCTCCCAATTGTTATATATATAAGACAACATGGAATTAATTTCCACTGTTATGCCAATGATACTCAGTGATGATTGGTCAGTCACTTCTTTTGGATGGTATTACGTTGATCTCAGATAACAAAATAAAAAAATCTTGGTGTTATTTTTGATCAGGACCTGTCATTTAAATCTCATATCAGAGAGATTTCAAGAATTTCCTTATTTCTTCTCTGGAAAAATGTGAAAATTGGAAATATCCTGTCCAAGGTTGATGCTGAGAAACTAATCCATGCATGTGTTACTTCAAGGCTGGACTATTGTCATTCTTTTCTAACAGGAAGTCCCCAAACTGTAGTTAAAAGCCCTCAGCTAATCCAAAATGCCACATCCAGAGTTCTTATAAAAATTTAAGAGAGATCATTTCTCTCTTATCGTAGCTTCTCTTCACTGGCTTCCTTCTGATTCCAGAGTGGAATATAAAGTCCTCCTTTTCAAATATAAAGCCTGAATGGTCAAGCTCCGTCTTACACTATATCAGAGATTTGATTGTTCCTTATGTTCCTAGCAGAGCACTTCACTCTCAGTCTGCAGGTTCACCTGTGGTTCCTAGAATTTCAAAAAATAGAACAGAAGGAAGATCTTTTAGTTATCAGGCTCCTCTCCTGTGGAACAAACTAACAATTTTAGTCTGTGAGGCAGACACCCTGTCTACTTTTAAGGCTAGGCTTAAAGGCTTTCCTTTTTGATAATGCTCATAGTTAGAGCGGCTCAGGTTATCCTGAGCTATTTCTGTAGTCATGCTGCTATAGGCTTAGACTGCTGGAAGACATAGGGGCCACTTTTTATCATTCTCTCTCTATTCTCACATAAATACTGTCCTAAACTTTATAAATCGGCCATATATTATATTTTTCCCACACTGCTTACATTTGATCACTGCTGCACTTTATGGAATGGAAAAAGTTCATTTAATGTCTGAAAAGCTGTATTAAATGAAATGACAATGGAGGTTGTCTAAATCATATACAAAATTGTAAATGTAAACACAAAACATAGATTTATTTTGACATATTTGAACTCATTGCTAACAACTTAAAATATATTCTCCAGAAGTTATTTACATAAGTGAAAGGTTTATATTTAGCTCAATTTTAAGAACATTACAATCAAATGTATCTTGGGTTGAATTTATTTTACAGCATGGAGTGTGACATCTCACAACCTTTTTTGTGGTTCTAGCATGGTTGTTCACAACTTTTAAATATCCCCTTCGATTGCATGCTTAAATCAACACAGTAGTCATTGTTTTAACACAGAAAGCTATCATCACTATATACTATAGAGATATACTGTTTACCTAAAGGAGCTAAAATAGAGGCGAAAGACATGCTAAATAAGATAAATAATCCCTTTGACTAGAGCTGGGCTTGATATCTTCAGAGTGAAAGATAAAACTATTTGTAAAACCAGTTTCTTATTTCAGCCTATAGAGTTAAGAAATGTCAGTTTTTGAAACTGACTAAATTAAATGAAATGCTCTGTTAACCTCAAATGTTTGGGTCTCTCAGTTCTCTGAACACCATGATACCCTCTGAGTAGAGAATCCAAATAGTGTTGGCTGCTATATGTCCCTCTCACAACCTTTTCTCCATCAACATTGCTATGTGCCTCAAGCTGGCACAGAAAAAAGCACCACCTTCATTCTGAGCAGATTACCCAGAGCAGAAAGAGTCTTGCACCTCTGCTTATCAGAGCAACCAGCTCATCAAAGCAACAGGAATAGGCACAAAAGATGGGGAAGACACTGTGCTCTTAGAGTGCATGCTGATAACATCCATTGCAAATAGCTTTTAACATCAGTGTTGCTGCCGTCACTGTTAAAAGGAGTGTTTTTTTTATTCTACGGCCTCTCATAGAGTTGATACCAAGTCTTTATCTGAGTTTGAAGTACAACCACTTTTGACATTCCTATTGTTTGATTTACTTCTCCAAACCTAAACCCAAAACTAAATAGTTGCTGATTTAAAGCATGTGGAGAATAAAACAAATGAACTGGTTCTTTCACTTCTCTGTATCGTCCTGTTAGTCATCTTTTGCTTATTGTAGAACATGGCAGCA